AAGCTCAAGTGCTGGAGGCTGCAGAAGCAATCACATGTGCGTATGTCCCGCTCACGCTTCATACGGGTGTTGCTCGGGGCGTGCAAGATCATCGGTATGGTTCCATGTTATGGTGGTTAGGTGGAGTGTCCCAAGCAATGTCAACTTACAAAAATAGCCTCCAGCAGCGAATCTGGGATATGAGTTTGCCCTTTCGTTCGCGCTGTTTGTGTCACTGCTCGTCGTTGGTGTCCCGTTGACTTGCTGTGCCTGGCCTCGCACCGTCCTGTTCGTCTCTACCTCGCGCTGATTGATTTTCCCCGAGCAGCGCTTGCACTTAGGGGTTCCTACTTCTCGTCTGGGGAACTGGGCCTAACTGATGTTCCAGCGGCTATGTTCTCGCCGTCGCCGCCCCGTCGCCGCCTCTTCGCTGCCCGTCGTCTGGGCCTGGCTGTTGGTCTGGCGGTTATGTTCTCGCCGTCGCCGCCCCGTCGCCACCACTTCGCCGCCCGTCGTCTGGGACTGTCTGGCAGTCTGGCGGCTATGTCGTCGCCGCTGCCGCCCCGAAATCGGATGCCGTGATGCAACATAGATTGCTTAACATCGATTGCGCTACATACCTTGCGCCGCACAGTTTCTCGCGCCTGAGAAGAAACTCGAACCTAACACCTCCACAACCCCGCCCCCGGGTTATCGACACCCACTGAGATAGTACTGCGCACGACTGATTACGTCCCACCGTTCATTTTAAATATACTTGCATACCCAATCGTACCATCCTTGGCAGGCCGTCCCCACGATCCGTGCCAAGTACTTATATGCGCGCACACGTGCCCATCACAAATCACCACTTGCCAAAAAACCGTTTGCAAAAAAAATATATTCAAACCAACATTCGCGCGTCGCCACGAGGGTATGGACCATAGGTGCCACTAGATGTTGCAACGATGTCAAGTCCGAGGTCACTGGCAAACTAATTCGACACAACACATTAGCAATATGAAATTGATGCTGCGAAACCATACAGTCTGCACGCGCGCTTGCGAAGACCTTAAGACAAACCTAAATTCCCAAATGCTTCCTCAAATGAAACCAAGCGGGCCCCTCGCGCGCGTGCATGTCGAAAGCATCCAAACGCCCTTGCGCGCATGCTGGGGGGGGGGGGGGGGCACGACCCCTGTCAAATAACACCATGTGGGCCACTGTCGCCCGTCGGCCGCTGGCGCATGTCGGAATCGCCCCCAATATTTGCATCACCGACACGTGGACACCATCATCGTCATTGGCGCCGTCATTCGCCGTGCCGTCGTCATCGCCATCGTCGCGACTCGCATCTCAACTCTTATCAGAATGTCTGCCGTTGTCGGGGTCGCCATGATACCGCGCCCACCCTAGCCACCGACTCGCAAAGAAGCGCCCGCGCGCAAGCGCGGCCTGCCAAACGCGCTGGGAGGTCCCGAGCAGTCACCGCCACCGCGGCCACGGAGGTCGCGCCACACTACGTGGCCGCTCTGCACGCGAGTCTGCGCGCGCTAACGCGGGCGCAGCGATGCGATAGCCAGCGCCAGGCACTCGTCGCAATCACCGCCGCATGGGTTTTGCAAATCAAGTTGCGGGTGGGTGAGTGGGACGATTGCGCGAGCTGTGGGGTTGACAACTCACAAGTGAACACTAATTAAATGCACCACCACCACCACCCCGGGATCACCACTCCTCCCTGGGGTATTGCAATTTACATGTGTGTCTGCCTCTTTGTTGATTTCCCATATGAACCCATACCCTCCCAGCTACTCCTGGCATCGCGTCCCCCCATTACCCCTGTCAAATAATACAACGCTGTGCGCATGCGTTGATCTAATATGAGCTCGCGGTACAACTCCTTATGAAATAATGCCATGCGGGCCACATGCGCGCGCGCAAAAAGAAATTATCCAACACCTTCATTTCGCAGCGACTTCATCAGAAAAACATCAAAAACCCAATGGCTATTCAACAAAAGGTTTTCAACAATTCATCCCGCGCGCTCTTGCGGTTTCTTCGGGGCCCCAACACTTGTTCAACATTCCTGTCCAAGGAGGCCTTCGCGCGCGCACGTCGGATTTATCCCACCGCCCTCGCGCGCTTGCCAGAAGCATGACCCTTGTCAAATCATACACGCGGGGCACCGTATCGTCATCATTGCCGTCGGCGTCGTCTTGATCATTCTCATCGTCGTTCGTCGACGCCGTCGTCCGCGCTGTCTCCGGCAAAATGAAGTTCGCCCGCGCGACGAGGATCCCCGCGCCAGCGAACTCGACGAAAGTAGCGAAGGAGCTCCACGCTGCAACAATATTCGCGACCTTTCTGGGTTCTGCCAACAACCTCATCGTCGTTCGGCGACGCCGTTGCCCACGCTCTCCCGCATGATTGACTGTGCCCGCGCCACGAAATCCCGCGCACCCTTGCGCATGCCTTGAAAACCCATGGTTGTTTGCAATATTCGCGTCCAAGGAGGCCTTCGCGCGCGCATGTGGAACTTATTACAACGCCCTCGCGCGCGCTTGCCAGAGGCATGATCCCGATCAAATAATACCGCGCGGGACACCGTCATCATCATCATCATCACTGCCGCCGGAAGCGTCGCGATCATTCTCATCGTCGTTTGTCGACGCCGTCGTCCGCGCTGTCTCCCGCAAGATGGAGCTTGCCCGCGCGATGAGCGTCAGCGCGCCAATGAACACGATGAAATGATAGGAGGAGCTCCACGCTGCAACTGTACTCGCGACCTTTCTGGGTTCTGCCAACCACCTCATCGTCGTTCGTCGACGCTGTTGTCCACGCTGTCTCCCGCAAGATGGACTCTGCCCGCGCCACGAAGGTCCGCGTGCCAGCGAGTTCGATGAAATTTGCGGACGAGCTCCACGCTGCAACTGCAGTCGCGACCTTATGAGTTTTGCCGACCAAGGTGCGGGTGTGGGGGTGGAATGTTTGCACGAGCATGGGAGGTGGTCACGCGCGGTGCAGCGTGGTCAATTCTCCTGTTTCTAAAAACAAAACAGGATCTACCCCCCACCGGAGATATCACTCCCCCTTTCGGGTATGCATCTTATGTATGATTCTGACCACATGTCCATCCTAAATATGAAATCACAATGTCAAATGCCAACCAGTACCCAGCCCCCGAGGGCCCCTTGTAAAAAAAACACTATGCGGTGACATTTGTTGTTCTAACATAACACTTGTTCGCGAATCCCTTGCAACAAATAAGACGAAATGCACACGCGCGCGTCGTCGCGCGCGCATGCCGAAATCCTTCAAAAACTTTCGGTGCCGGAAAGATTTCGCAATCGAGTTTCCAACAAACATACAGAAACACAGGGTTTCGCAAAACTGATTTGCTAAAAAAGCTTCCGCGCGAGCTCTTGCGAAATCTTAAGAAAACCATAGGTCATTCAAAATTTTCACAAAATGCTACCAAACGGGCTTCGCGCGCGCGCATGCCGAAATCTGTCGAACGCCTTTGCGCGTGTGCCGTCGCGAGAATCCTCCGCAAAAAACGGGACGAAGTGCAGACGCGCGCGTCTTCGCGGGCGTATGCCGAAAACCTTCAAAACCCATCGGCTTCGGAAGGATTCCAAAATCGTGTGACCAAAAAACCTACAAAAAAACAAGGTTTCGCAACACGGACTTTCAACAAAAGCGTGCGCGCGCGCGCTCTTGCGTCGTCGTCGTCGCCGTCCTCCCTCCTCCCGCGTCGTCGTCGTCGTCGCCTACGTCGTCCTCTGTCTTTCCTCGTGTTCGTCGTCGTCGTCCTCTTTGGCGTCGTGGTCGTTTCCGTCGTCGTTGTCGCCGTGGTCGTCCTTCCTCCTCCTCCTTCGTCGTCGTCGTCGTCCGTCGTCGGCGTCTCGTCGTCGTCCCTCCTACTTCGTCGCCGTCGTCGTCGTCGTCGTGTCGTCGTCGTCTTCCCTCCTCCCTCGTCGTTGTCGTCGTCGGCGTCGCCGTCCTTCCTCCTTCGTCGTTCGCGTCGTCGCCGTCCTCCCTCCTCCCTCGTCGTTGTCGTCGTTGTCGTCGTTGTCGCCGTCGTGGTCCTTCCTCCTCCCTCGTCGTCGCCTTCGTTGGCGTCGTCGTCGCCTTCGTCGTCGTCGGCGTCGGCGTCGTTGTCGTCGACGAAGTCGTCGGAGACGTCGTCGGTGTCGTCGTAGTCGTTGTCGTCGGTGTCGTCGTAGTCGGTCTTAAGAGGTTTCGCAAACCAAGTTGCGGGTGGGTGGGTGGGATGTTTGCGCGAGCAGTGGAGATGACGACTTCAAGTTCAGCAGAAGGGATTGCACCACATAGATTGCTCCACATAGATTGTACAACATAGATTGTTAGACACACACTGCTTGAGGTCCACGCTGGCGAACATTGTAAACCACGAAGGACCGGTGACAGCGAGGGCTCACAAAAGCTATGTCCTGGTCCTTCCTCTCTCTGCGGGCGCTGCCCGCCGAGACCGCCGGATCCCCCCTCACCCACTCTGGACAAGAGGGCGAACCGGGCTGCCAGCAGGCTCGACCCCCCGCCCCCGCAACTCAGTGACCAAATGATACCGGAGAAAAACCCCAATCAGGGCTATGGGGCTAGGGGGCTATAGGGCTATAGGGCTATAGGGCTATTGAGCTATAGGGCTATAGAGCTTTAGGGCTATAGAGTTGTAGGGCTATAGGGCTGTTGGGCTATTGGGCTATAGGGCTATAGGGCTATAGGGCACCCCCGGGCACCCCCGGGCACCCCCGAGAACCCCCCGGGCACCCCCCGGGCACCCCCCGGGCACCCCCTGGGCACCCGGGCGTGCAGCGAAAATCGGCGGCCAACCTCACCCCCCGGCACCCCCGGGCACCCGGGCACCCAGGCGTGCAGCGAAAATCGGCGGCCACGCTAACCTAACCATATGAATCCGCTAGGACCCCTACAGAGGCAAGCTCTGATTGGGGAACAAGCCGCAAACTGAATGCAGCAATCAAGCATTGCAAGAATGTGGACGCGGGGGCAGCCCTCTTCGCAAGTTCCTCGATGAAAGAAGTCAGCTCGGCCACGGAGGAACGGCTCGGTATGTTCTTCAGCATCACCGCCTGGGCGGCACGAGGTCGCACAATCCCCCCGCGGGAAACTCTCACAGCCCCCAGTCCTTGCCCGATCACTCCCCCACCCCTTCTGCCCCTTCGCCCCTTTAAAACGGAGGAACGGGGCTGGAGGAGAGCGGGCTGTGGAGGAGGGAGGCTGGAGAAGGAAGGGGGGACAGAAAGAAAGAGGCGGAGCGAGTAAGGAATTCTCCACGTGATCGTCCAGGAAACTCGCGGGTCCCCGCACAAGCCCCTGAGGCTTGCCAGACAGTTCAAGAGCCATGCTCCTCCTCACCTTCCTGTCTTTTGCTTCCTCTTCTTCCTCTTCCTCTTCCTCTTCCTCTTCCTCTTCCTCTTCCTCCTCCACCTCCTCCTTCCGATCCTCCTCCTCCTCCTCCTCCTCGTCCTCCTCCTCCTCCTCCTCCTCATCCTCGTCATCATCATCATCATCATCATCATCATCATCATCATCATCATCATCATCATCATCAGCATCATCATCATCATCATCATCATCATCATCATCATCATCATCCTCCTCATCATCCTCATCATCCTCATCATCCTCATCATCCTCATCATCCTCATCATCCTCATCATCCTCATCCTCATCCTCATCCTCATCCTCATCCTTATCCTCCTCCTCTTCCTCCACCTCCCCACCTTCATCACCACCACCCTGCCATGACCATCAGAGTCCGAAACATAGTAGGCACCATAATCATCCTCATCCTCCCTATATGAGTCGATGAAGGCCTTGGGAGCGCCAGATTGCTTACAGCAAGAAAGATCGGGGGGAAACAGAAGACACTCGAGGAGACCCCTTGGATTCATGACAGAGTCATCGGGTAATTTTCTGATGCAATGAACCGAACCCCCCCCAAAAAATGAAAGAAATAACGGCACAAATTTCAGAATTTGGTGCGGTTCTATTGAGTTGCAATCGGGATGTGTAGGGATCAGAAAACTCCCGTGTGAAACTACGACGTTACAGCCAAGACCCCTTGAGCGTCCTGAAGCAGCCACCTGGACTCCATCTGGCTATTCTACGGCACCCTTTGAAGTTGCTGAAGCCCCCCCGCATTGTACTTACATGTAGATTCCTTTTGTGGACGGTGAACAAATCAAATCCCTGTCGCCTGTGACATGCCCCTGGCTTGATTTGTCCAGGTAAAACAAAGATTGAATTGTGCGGGCTAAATATAAAACCTTGACGGCGACTACGCAGACGGTGTGCACGTGTTTCACGCGTGCGCAATGTTACCCTGATGCTTTCCGGCGAACGTGCGCCCAAAACAAACTCCCTTCGCGGATGGTGTACACAAAAAAACATAATACGTGCGGGGCTTGAGAAAATTCCTCTTGCCTGGCGGATACAAGTGAACTCCAAGTGTGCGCATGTGGAAACTAAAACGCATGCTGCGTGGTCGGGTGTAGATGTTTTTGCTGGGCGCGCACCAATCGATACCTTCTGTGCTGCCTGGGGAAAGAAAGGAGGTGACCCAAAAAAACGCTGTTGGAAGAGAAAGCGCTGCAGACCAATATGTCGAGTGAAACGTCTACACAAAAGTGTCCCTTTTGTCCATAACTAAATGAAACAAGCCGTTTGTATGGACAGGGTGTACACCTACAATGATGTCGTGGGCAGAATGGACACGTATCGTTTGTGTGAACCGGTTACGCGGGTACTCTTTGTGGGACGCGTTGGTATTTTCAGTTTGCTTATGTGGTGAGGGCAAGAACTACACCTAGATGGGGAAGGCGCAAGCCTAGCTATATGCATGAGTAAACATGCATGCATACATGCGTACGTTCATTGATACATACATACATATACCTATACACAAATACACGCATACACGAATATATGTATATAAGTATAGACATACATACATACATGCATACATGCATCAACATATACAGTTACAGATTCAGATACCTATACATTTGCATAAACATATACCAGCCAATATCCTTATCGTTTTAAACACACGTACACCTAATTATCTAGGTTGATCTATACATAACCACATGCAGATAGGGTACACAGACAAGTACGTATACGTATACAGATGCATAGCCATACACAAACATGTATACATATACCTATACATATACACATGAAAATACATATGCATATGCATGCGCATATACAAATACTTCTACATATTCATATACACATGAATACCCATAAACATATGCATACACATGTACGTAAACGTGTACAAATACATATACATATACATACACGCATGCATATGCAAATACAAATGCGTACACATACACTTGTGTATATAGAAAAGATACATAGACACGTGCATACATACACACATGCATACTCGCCTATACGTGTATACAAATACGTAGATTTGAACACATACATATACATATTAATGTACGTATGCATGTACATATAAATACAAGCGTACATGCACATATGCTTATATAGCTCTACATAAACATCGACACATACATGTAAAACAAACTGTACGTATAAATATATACGGAAACACATACATACACATAAACCTGTACACACATATACATATATGTTTGTGCACATATACATATACATACATAAACAAACATACAGTTATATACACGTATACGAATACGTAAACATATACATATACAAATACACATAGTAAATATTAGAACCATCGCGCGCGCTGCGCGCGCGCTCAAGTTCTACCTAGGGTCACGATCATCGTCATGATTGTCATCCTCATCCCCGTCATCTTCATCGTCATCGTCATGGTCATGGTCACCTTTACCATCACCATCATAACAATCGTCAGTATCACCATTATCATCAGCATCGTGATCACCATCATCATCATCATCATCATCATCATCATCAGCATCATCATCATCATCATCATCATCATCATCATCGTAATCGTACTTTTCAGCATCATCATCCGCATCATCAACAGATTGTTGGTCGTCGTCGGCGTCGTCGTCGGCATAGTCATCATCATCATCATCATCATCATCATCATCATCATCATCAGTGTCATCGCCGTCACCATCCCTGGTCCACTGCAGTCCCCTTACCCTCCTCCTTGCCCCGTTCTTCCTCTTCCCATCATCTTATACTCATCCTTTTCCTCGTCGGCGTCTCCCTGAAAGGGATCCCTGTTTCTTCACCTCCTCCTCCTCTTCTTCTCTCTCCTTCTCCTCCACCTCCTCCTCCCTGTGTTCCCCGCTCTTCGGTGTGTCCCTCATAGAAAAAGTTGAATATCGACATTTAGTTTTGATTTAGTTTGTTTTATTCCCGCGAGTTTCTCGAGCTTTGCAAGGAATCAGAAAACCATAAGGATTCCTCACAACAGCCTCTTTGTGTTCCTTCACTTACTTCACCTCCTTCCTCCTCTCGAGCCCTCTTCATATTGCGCTCCCCTTCCCTCCTCGTCCTCAGCATCCCTCCCCGAGCCAGAGAATCAGAGAACAAGATAATATTACAAGAACGATGTCCCTCCTCCTCTTTCCACTCCTCTTCCCCCTCTGCGTCCTCCTGATATTCCTCCCCCTCCTCCTACTCCTCCGGCTCCTCCTCCTCCTCCTTCTCCTCCTCCTCCTCCTCCTTCTCCTCTCCCACCTCCTCCTGCTCCTCCTCCTCCTCCTCCTTCTCCTCCTCCTCCTCCTCCTCCTCCTTGTCCTCCTCCCCATTTCTCTCAACGCACCCAGCACACGGGTGCCTACTGGAACGCGTGCAGGGAACCTTTTTGGAGGCATTGCGGCAGTCTCTGGAGCCTCTCCGGGCCTTCCTTTGGAGTCCTTTGGGGCCTTTGTTGGCCCGTCTGAGGGCCCATTTCGGCCGTTCTGGGTCCCTCTAGGCTCTTCGTGGGGAGCTCGGCCCGTCTTCGGGCCCTCCTGGGCCAGGGGCCCTCTCCGACCATGTAGGAATCCTCTGGTGGCCCCCTCGGGCTTCCTGGGGGCTCTCTTGGGCCGTCTTGTCGCTCTTCTGTGCCGCTCGAAGCTCTCTTCAGCCCATCTTGGAACTCTCTTTGGGGCCTCTGGGGCCGTCTGGGGCCCATTTTGGTAATCTCTTGGGCCGTCGCGACCGCTGGTAGAACTGAAAAGCGAAGCTTCCAGAAATATACGTTTGTCATCGGAAATGGTGGATTATTGCCTTTCGATTCCCTTCTCAGCGGCTTCTTGGACAGTCGTGGAGGGGGGTCCTTTTGGGCCTTTTAAGGCCCGTCTGGGAGCCCACGTTGGCTGCCCCAAGCCCCTCTTGGCATGTCATGGGTAGCTGAGCCTTCTTGGGGCCCTCATGGAGCCCTCTCCGACCATGTAAGGATCCTCTGGTGGCTCCCTCGGGCCCGCTGGGGACTCTCTCGGGCTGTTTTGGAGCTCTTTTGTGCTGCTCGACGCTCTCTAGAGGCTGTCTTGGAGCCCTCTTGGGGCCTCGTGGACCGTGTGGCGCCGATTTGGGAAGGCTTTGGGGCCGACGTGGCCGCCGATGGAACATAAGAAGCGAATGTCCTAGAAATGTGCATTCTCCCATGGGAAATGCTAGTTTTTTGCACCTGGAAGCCTTCTCAGCGGCCTCCTGGAGTGTTTTCAGGGAGTCCTGGGTGGCATTTTGTGGACCCTCTGGGTGCTCAGTTCGGCCGTTCCGGGTCCCTCTTCGCCCGTCACGGGGACCTTAGCCCGTCTTGGGACCCTCTGGGGGCCCTCTCCGACCATGTAGGGATCCTCCGGTGACCCCTCGGACTTCCTGGGTACTCTCTTGGGCCGTGGAGCTCTCTTGTGCTGCTTGAAGCTCTCTTCAGGCCGTCTTGAGGCCCACTTGGAAGCCTCTTAGGCCATTTGCGGTTCATTTTGGGAGCCTCTGGGGCCGTCGCGGCCGCTGGTATGACTGAAAAGCAAACATCCAAGAAATATGCATTGTCCCATAGCTCGATTTTTGCCCTTGGATGGCCTTCTCGGCGGCCTCTTGGACAGTCTGGAATGCCTTTGTGGCCGTCTAGGAGCAATCTTGGGCTGTCTTCGAA